CACACTAGCTCTGTGAGGTCCACTTCAGATGGCCCCAGCCTTCATAATAAGCTGTGGGACATTGGGGACACAGGATAGAAAATAAAAACATTGTGACATAATTTACCGAATACCAAAATAAGAGGAATAGGGCATAACAGAGTAACTCCCTACTGGAAGGAAGAAGAGGAGAGATGTAAAGGATGAGGGCATCTAACTAGATGGAGATGAATATAGGCAGAGGCATGAAGAGGGAATGAAGGGTGCTCAAAGACTGGAGAGTATTTGTGTGACCAGAAAGCCAGGGTAGAGTTTAAAACTCAGCCTGGGTGCCACAGGAGTCACTGAAACATACTAAGCAGGGAATGGCCCGTCTTGATTTCTGCTACCATAGTGGCAGAGATGGTACAGGCCTGATTAAGGGAGAGGAGGCCTAGGAGCTAGCTGGAGGGGGGAGCAGTAGGTCATGGGGGTGGCTCACTGAGCTGGTTGGTGGTGACAGAGTCTGAAAAGGGAGGAAATGCCTTGCGGGAGGGGACCACTGTGTGTTGCCTGTGAGTTACTTGTTCTAGCCTGCCTGCTCTCTTGATCAAGTTTACAGTATGCTTGCGTCGGAACGGGCGGACTGTGTATCAGCAAGTTCTGTCCCTGGAGCGTCCAAGTGTCCTGCGCAGCTGGAACTGGGGCCTATGTGGTTACTTTGCTTTCTACCACGCCCTTTATCCCCGAGCCTGGACAGTCTATCAGCTTCCTGGCCAGAGTGTCACTCTGACTTGCCGCCAGATCACACCTATCTTGCCCCATGACTACCAGGTGAGGTTTCCTCCTGTTTCTTCCACTACTTCCCTCCCCCAGATCCACCACTGTGGACGAAGGGGAGAGGTTGGAGCTGTGAACATCACATTGGTTTCCCAGTCCAATGAATTCTAGCCGTTGAAAGACAGAAGGTAGTATAGAGGGGAATATTTGAAAAGGGTCTCTATGCCCATGACTAATCCTGAGGATTGGAATCAAAAATGAATACAGAGACTGAGTCCAGTCTTTTATCCCCAGGACAGCTGCCTCCCTGTAGGAGTCTTTGTGTGGGATATAGAAAACCAAGGAGATGAAACTCTGGATGTGTCCATCATGTTCTCTATGCGGAATGGACTAGGGGGTGAAGATGATGCTCCAGGAGGGTTGTGGAATGAGCCCTTCTGTCTGCAACGGGATGGGAAGACTGTGCAGGGGCTACTCCTGCATCATCCAAGCCCCCCGAATCCCTACACGATGGCTGTGGCTGCACGATGCACGGTGATGAGCCCCCGCCCTCACAGCCTGCCCCTGAATCTACTTCTACCTCTCATAGCCTTTCATCAACTCACTGATCCCATCCTCATCACAGCCCTCAGCCTCTGGAACTCAGAGGTGCCAGTGTGTAAAGAAGAGCTAGTCAGAACCCATTGACTTGTACTTGCCTTCACAGAGTCTTTGACCCCTTAACAGGCAGACACCACGGTAACCCACATCACAGCCTTTGACCCTGACAGCACTGGGCAGCAGGTGTGGCAGGACCTACTTCAGGATGGACAGCTGGACTCCCCTGCTGGTGATGGGGGGTTTGACTGGGAGGTATTGGGAAGAAAGGCTGGGTCCAGTCTTAGGATCAGGGGTGGAAGACCTGATAATAAATAATAGACCTTGTCCTTGAGTTAGGAGTTCCTAGCTTTGGGACTCAATCAGCCTGTGCTGATTCCTCTGTGCTTCTTAGGCCAAAGCACCCCCTCCAAGAAAGGAGAGGGTGTCGCTGGGGCTGTATGTATCTCCAGCAAGCTGCCACCACGAGGCCGGTGCTGCCTGGAGTTTTCACTGGCTTGGGATATGCCTAGGATCATGTTTGGCGCTAAAGGCCAAGTCCACTACAGGTAAATGCAGGGATCCAAAGGCACTGGGGTGCTAACCTAGAGCACCTGTTCTTATGCCTCTTTTTCCACCTCAGGCGGTACACACGGTTCTTTGGTTCAGATGGTGATGCAGCACCTGCCCTTAGCCACTACGCGCTGTGCCAATATGCAGACTGGGAGAAGAGAATCTCAGCATGGCAGAGCCCAGTATTGGATGACAGGTGCCAGTAGAGCCCTCTTGTGCTTTTTCCTAGGCCCCTTCTCCAAATAGGACTTGATCTATTTCTACCCACCAGTCAGTAGGGCTGTGCTGGGATTCACTTAGTGCCCCTACTTCTCTGGACTCTAGAATCCTTTCTGTCCTGGGAGGCTCATAAAGATCTGTTCCCTTCTCTTGGCTTCCCAGATCCCTGCCTGCCTGGTACAAATCTGCACTGTTCAATGAATTATATTTCCTGGCTGATGGAGGCACAGTATGGCTGGAAGTTCCTGAAGACTCTCTACCAGAGGAGCTGGGAGGGAACATGTATCATCTGCGCCCCATTCTACAGGACTATGGGCGATTTGGCTATCTTGAGGGTATGGGCTGGGGTATGTCAGGCTAGCTAGTGTCCTATATAAAGCAAAGTGGTAGATTTTGCCTATCCCAAGATATTGATGGGATAAGGGATAATTGGTGACTATGGACAGGTGACTGTGTCCTACATCCAACTTTTGAAGGGCTATCAAAGGGAAGCTGGGGTTCTTGCAACAGTGTCTCTCTGTCATTCTTCCAGGCCAGGAATATCGCATGTACAACACATATGATGTCCACTTTTATGCTTCTTTTGCCCTCGTCATGCTGTGGCCCAAACTTGAGCTCAGTCTACAGTATGATATGGGTGAGGGTAACTTCTTAAGTTTCCTTTACCCTTGAACCTTTGTAGTCTCTCAAATGATATGACCTTCCCCCCTTGCCCTGAGCGTACCTACATCTTGCTTATTGCTTTTCCTCTGGAGTCACACACACAGCTATATGACCCACCTCAAGCCTGCCCATTCCTTGTTTTCCCTCACCTACTTGTATCTGCGCCCCCAGCTCTGGCAACTTTCAAGGAGGACCTGACACATCGACGGTACCTGATGAGTGGAGTAGTAGCACCTGTGAAAAGGAGGAATGTTATCCCTCATGATATTGGGGACCCAGGTAAGGTTCCATTATCCCAAGGTCAGTTTTTATACCTTCTATCCCATCCACCGATGCAGACAAACCAGGTTCCCTCCCCTCCAACAGATGATGAGCCTTGGCTCCGAGTCAATGCCTATTTGATTCATGATACTGCTGACTGGAAGGACCTGAACCTGAAGTTTGTGCTGCAAGTTTATAGGGACTATTACCTGACAGGAGACCAAGGCTTCCTGAAGGACATGTGGCCTGTGTGTCTGGTAAGGCATGTGTATATAGTGTCCAGTATACCAGGGACATGAATGGTGTCTCAGGAGAACCCAGATGGCTAGCGTCTTTCTTAGAACCTACGTCTTCAGCATCTTGATCCCTCTCTAGGCTGTGATGGAATCTGAAATGAAGTTTGATAAGGACCAGGATGGACTCATTGAGAATGGAGGCTATGCAGACCAGACCTATGATGGCTGGGTCGCCACAGGCCCCAGGTTGGTGGGTAGGGATCTCCAGGTCTGAGTGGGGAACTGGGCACATAGGGTGTGTGTGAGAGGGGCTAGAGCTGCCAGTCTTACCCCAGCCCCTGTCCCTGACCAGTGCTTACTGTGGAGGGCTGTGGCTGGCCGCTGTGGCTGTGATGGTTCAGATGGCTGTTCTGTGTGGGGCCCAGGATGTGCAGGATAAGTTTTCTTCCATTCTCTGTCGAGGCCGAGAAGCTTATGAGAGACTGCTCTGGAACGGTGAGTAAAAGCAACCTGGGACGTCTTAAAGCTAACTACGTGGACACAAGCTTTACTTTGCCCTTCCTCTACTCCAGGCCGCTATTACAACTATGACAGCAGCTCCCAGCCTCAGTCGCGTAGCATCATGTCTGACCAGTGTGCTGGGCAGTGGTTCCTGAGGGCCTGTGGCCTGGGTGAAGGAGACACTGAGGTGAGACTAGAGAAGCCAGAAAGATGGGTTTCCCTGGAGGTGGGAAACAGGTATAAGAGGCTGTCTCTGTCTTTGCTCTCCCCCCGTAGGTATTTCCTAGTCTCTGTCTTTGCTCTCCCCCCCGTAGGTATTTCCTACCCTGCATGTGGTCCGTGCTCTCCAAACCATCTTTGAGCTCAATGTCCAGGCCTTTGCAGGAGGAGCCATGGGGGCTGTGAATGGAATGCAGCCTCATGGTGTTCCTGATAGATCCAGTGTGCAGTCTGATGAAGTTTGGGTGGGTGTGGTCTACGGGCTGGCAGCAACCATGATCCAAGAGGTAACGTGTTCCCTTTCCCATCCCTTCACCATTTGTACTGTGGTCCAGAAAACTTCCTCAAAAGCTAAATTCATTCCAGGAATGTCCTAACGTCATCCTCTCCATACATAGAGCCCCTTTTCCCTGGTATATGTTCCACCTCCTGCCTTTAGGATCTAACCTGAGGGCAAAAGGCATACTATCTTATCTGCTCAGCTACGGTAATTGTATCACGAGAGCCAGTTATTATGTATGACTTCCACCTCTCCCCACAGGGTCTGACTCAGGAAGGTTTCCAGACAGCTGAAGGCTGTTACCGCACTGTATGGGAACGCCTGGGCCTGGCTTTCCAGACCCCAGAGGCATATTGCCAGCAGCAAGTGTTCCGCTCACTGGCCTACATGCGGCCCCTGAGCATCTGGGCCATGCAGCTGGCCCTGCAACAGCAGCAGCATAAAAAGGGCAGCAGGCCAGTCGTCACACACGGCACGGGACTGAGCACAGAGCCTGAATGTGGACCAAAGAAATCTTGGACAAACCTAAGCCCAGAATGATGAAACTATGGAAGCCCAGCCTCCACACTGGTCTTTTCTCCTCCTTCCCATAATTCCTGCAGCCCTGAGCCACTAGGACAATCAAGCCCCTTCCCTTCTTCCTACCCAACTGTGCCAGTAAAAAGGGGCCGAGGAACCACTTATTTATTTCTTACCGTACCCGCTCCTTCCGTGGATGAAATAGTCAAGGCCAGTAAATTTCTCCAAGTCTATTCATGGAACAACAGATACACATGGGTATAAATAAAAGACCCATAAAACTGTAGTGTGGTGTGTTTGAGTTCCCAAGCACCCTAATAGGGCACAGGAACAGAGGCCAGCTCTTTTCCCCATTCCTTTTTATATGAATACAGACATGAATCCTCAGACTGAGAGTACCCCACATCTCAGATCTAACATGAATATCTGCCCAGCATGACGACAGAAGAAGGGCTATGGGTAGGCAGCCACCCCCCTTTCTTTGAAATATTTGCCTGCAGGGGATGGTTGGAGCCTGAGAAGGGGGTCTCTAAGGAAAGATCAAGGAGTGTCGAGTGCAGGGGTGGCTCTGCCTGAGGCTCTTGGTGTAGGAGGCAGGAAGCATTGCTGGAGGCCTGGAGCATCTGCTCTGAGCTACTCAGAAGCTGGTTTGTGCTATCCTTTGACCGATGGGCAGGTAGCTTGGCCTGACGATGGTCCTCACTGGGGAGGGCACGAAGCTGACGGCGCAACCCTGAAGAGATAAAGACTTGTCAAGTGACAAGACAGAAGCGGCCCTTTACCAAAGCCATGCCTTAAAGGTCCTCAGCCTCTTACCAACATACTCAGCTGGCACACTCCCCCTTGTGTCAGAGGAGTACATAGCAGGTACAAGAAGAAGGCAGAAAGAAAACAGTAGGACCTGAAACACAGAAAAAAGGAGATGGAGGGCTCTGGGTCATACGCCCCGTTTCTGCCAAGAAAATCATCTCTCGTCCCATCCTCCTCACCAGAACACACGTGCTGCTGCTGCTGGTTTTGTTTGCTATCTCAATAACCATGGCCTGAAGTTTCCTCAGTTGATCTAGAAGGGACCTAAGGGAAGAGAGGAAACAGTGGTGAGCATGCCCTGGTCTAGCATGAGTCACAATGAAACCCTACCCAGCTACCCACCCCCTATTTAAGTCACTCTCTCCACTGGTGCAGTGGATTCAGTCTCTTCCCTGCCATTTTTTCCCCCAAATGACTTCTCCTTTGTGGACAAATACTTGTAGTTCCTTATTGAAACAAAAAATAAAAACTTCCCTGCCTTGGCTAGAGCTCCTTTGCAAATACCTTCCAGAAGTCTCTTAATACCTGATCAACTAACTATGCATGTAACTAACTAGGTACTGTATTCTGTACTTTCTGGGCCAATACAAACACAAACATTGTCTTCTCTTCACCTAGAATGCATTCCTCACTCAGTCCCACTCCCCTAATTGCAATCGCTCTGATGTTAACAACCTCCATTCAGTCTTTTCTTACTTCCCCTTTCTTTGTCTTGGTACTTAATTTCTTCTAAGCTACTTGTAAATTTATTTCCCATTACTCTGAACTTGAGACCTGGTAAAAGCCAACCACCAGATTTTTGCACTTAGGAGCTATCCAGTTAGAAGTCAAGTGTGGAATAGTGGAAAGAGTGAGAAAGCATTAAGAAACTAATGACGAGGCTGGAGAGACGGTTCAGTGGTTAAGAGCACTGACTGCTCTTTCGGAGGACCCAGGTTCGTGTCCCAGCACCCACATGGTAGCTCACAACTATCTGTAACTCCAGTTCTAGAGGACCTGACACACTCAAAGCAGACACACATGCAGGCGAAACAGCAATACAAGCAAAAGTAAAACCTAAACCATTAAAAAGATTTTAAAAATTAATGACTATACGTGGTTGCTTACAGATTCTGTTCCTCTAGAATTTGTATTTTGTTCTGCAGCTCCTCATTCTGGGCTGTGTATTTCAAGACCCTGGAGAATAACATGGATATCAAAATACTGCCTGTGTCTTCCCTTCAAAAACTTAAGGCTTTCAACTGTTTCCCCGTGTTCTTCCTTTCCTACCTGCTCTCCAACCCTCCTACATACACCTTCTTCTTCTTGCGGCTTTCCTGAGCAGCTCTCTTGTTTCGAATCTTTCTCCGAACTCGCTTTAGAGCCTGTTCCTCGACCTAAGAGAAGATGGGAAAAAGGTCATCCAAGGTATATCATATTACATAGGTATGCTGGAAGGCAGCTAAGTTCAACCTTGGTTTCTCCTACAGCTTCTTTGATAGCAGGCACTCACCTTCTATGTGAAGGTCTCCAAGGACCAACTCAAAATTAACACTCAAAATTGACTATTTTTTGATATTGCTTTTATGTGTATGGGTGTTTTGCCTGTATGTATGCCTGTGTATAATGTGGGTCTTCTGGCCCACATAGGCCAGAAGAGGGAGTCAGATCTCCTGGGACTGGAGTCACAGACAGTTGTGAGCTGTCATATGAGTGCTGGAACTCAAACTTGGGCCTTGTGAAAGACTAGAAAGTGCTCTAAACCACTGAGGCCATCTTTACAGCCTCTAATTTAGTTAATTAAAAAAAAAAAAATCCTCCTAAGCTAGGTGTGGTAGCACATGCCTATAATCTCAGCACCTGGGAGGAAGAGGGAGGAGATCAGGACTTCAAGACCATTCTTGGCTAAAGTTTGAAGCCAGCCTGAGCTACATTACCACGTCTTATGTAACAACAAGAAAAATCCGTCCTTATCCTAAATCAACATCTATTTTCTTATAATTTCTAACTGCCGGATTTACCTAGAATCTCTAGGGCTATACAGAATATATCCTTATTTTAAGGCAAACATTTTTTCAGAAATTGAAACTGAATAAAGATTAACTCTTATATTCTCTGATATAGCCTGGGCACTAGCCAACAATGATGTCATTCACTTGTAATCTAGTCCTCAGGAGTTAAAAGCAGGAGCAGGAGTTCAAAGGTATGCCTGACCCACTACATAGTCTGAGGCCAGCCCATCCGGGCCTTAAAACACCCTGTCTCAACAAACAGGGCTGGAGGATGTAGCTCAGTGGTGGAGCAATTGACAAGCACGCATGAGGTGCTATATTCAATCTCAATGGGTAGGGGATCAAGGTATGGCCTGGTCAGTGTAAAGGAGGAAAGACAGTTACTGTATTAGAACAGCACCACTATTGATAATTTCCAAATTCTGTTTCCCTTCCCACTAACTACTGCATTGCTCACTCATCATGTCATTGTGGTAGAGGGGTAGGAGACAATGTCACACGTAGCCCAGGCTTGCCTAAACTTGACATGACTCCAAGTCTGGCTTTTAACTCCTGATTCTCCTGCCCTAAGTAATTAAACAATAACAAAATTAAACAATAACAAAAGATACCATGAAAACATTAAAAAGGCAAATTGTCATAAAAATGTTTGCCATAAAAGCTAGATGTAGTTGTATATGCCTGTAAGCCCAGCACTAGGGAAGTAGCTTTGATCTTATGAGGACCTTTCTGCCTCTGCCTCCAGAGTGCTGGGACTATAGAGATGTGAGCCATCATGCCCAGCTTTGACAACCGTTTTTGTTAGACTGGTTCGGCCTCTCAAACATTTCTACTATGAGCAAGAGATGGAGTGCCATGTTCACAATGAACTCTGTAAAGGCCCTCCATTTGTAGTCCTTTTCAAGGTTCTATTCTCATGTTAGTTAACATTTTAATTTTTTTCTATGTGGATGTGGGCTTGTTTGGAGATCAGAAAACTTGTAGGAGTTAGTTCTCTCTTTCCATCATATGGGTCCTGGGGATAGATTATCAGGTCAGGACTGGCAGCAAGGGCCTTTTCCAGCTAAGACACACACTAGTAATTTTGAAAGAAACACCACAACTTACATCAGCCCTACAGGGTCAGACACTGTCATCGAATGTAGCCTATTATCTACCTGCCCCAACTTCCCACTGGCAGCAAGTGTGCTTAAATTAGATTCTGACTTCAGTCCCTTCTCAAGTTATTGATTTGAAGTAAACTGAATTTGCCTACTTAGGTCATGCAATGTTTTTTGTTGTTGTTTGTTAGTTTTTGTTTTGTTTTTTTGAGACAGGGTTTCTCTGGGCTGCCTTAGCTGTCCTGGAACTCAGAGATCCACCTGCCTCTCCCTCCCAAGTGTTGGAAGGGGCCAGGCTGCCCCTCCAGCTTTTGTTTCACCAACAGAAACCTTACCTTAGTGAGAGGAAGAGTTGAGGGCAGATTAAGTCCCTCCTTCTCCAAGAGCCTCTTCTCTTCCTCAGTCAGTATCAGCCTAGAAATCTCCTAAGGTTGGAGGAAATAGTGGAGAGCAAAGTTGCATGGGGATGTGGGAGCAGAACTGGGGAACCTTGGCCCCAGTCCAGAAAGGTGAGATAATCCTGAACAATCCAGTCCAGTACCTGCTCTGTAGCTGTTTCCCCCACACTCAGTGGAGTCACGTGGAACCCCTCCTTTTCAAAGCTCCCAATATCTGCAAAAGTGAAAGTAGGGCTAGCTAGGCCAGGCCAGTTAGCTCTTTCCTCCCCCATAACTTAACATTTCACACTCACCTAGATCTATGGCAACATGCTCCTGTGGGAGGGAGTAGTTGTGATCATGTCGAATAGAAGAGATGGAGGAGCTGAGACCATCCAGCGATGCCGAGGGACTGAGCAGAGAGCTCAGTAAATCCTCTATCTCCCAGTCGTTCAGTGCTTGCACGGAGTTCTAATAAATTCACAGGCCTTGATTTATCCCTGTACCCCTGGGTTTCACAGACGTCGTTTAGCTTCCCCACTCAAACGCCCACCCACCTCGGAAGGTGGCAGCTCCAAGTCCAGCGGAGCCTCCACGTCCTGCTCGGTCGCAGCCCACAAATCTCCGCTTTCCTCTAGCAGAAAGCCCAGCAGGTCCTGATCACCAGGATCCAAAGCCACAAGGTCCTGACCACCAGGATCCATTTGGGATATCTATGGATAGAAATCCCAGTACGCAGACACAATCTCCGAACCTTAGGCACGACCCCTCGGTCTAAGTGTCAAATCTGCTCTACTTACCTTAGTCACTCTACTCCGGGATACAAGGTTGAAGGCCCAGTGGTCACCCTAAACCACAGCCACCTCCCCCAGCTTCTATTCTACTAAGCTTCCAACACAACGGAAGTGATGCACATAGCCCCCACGGCATCCTGGGACTTGGAGTTCCTTCCAACTCGGAAGTGGCTCGTGTGCTGCGCCACGTCCCGGTGGGCTATGCAAATTGTAGGGACGTCCCTTGCAGCTTCCCACACTCCAGGGCGGGGATTCTGGGGACTCGGCTCCGCCTTCGCCGCGAGCTAGAAAAAAAGGAAGACTAAGAGTCTATAAGGGAACACCAGTTTGGTTCGGGCGTTCTCTCTAGCGCGCCGCACCCTTGCTTCCTGCCGGGGAGGGGAGGCCAGGCTTTGCGGGCGCCCGAGCATCGAGACCTGCGGCTAGAGCAGCTTCCTGAAGTCTCCGCGACCATAGAGCGCGGGCCCAGGGCGCCGCCGGCGGGTGGGAGACCTTTCCAGGACGGAAGTGGACGAGAGTGTCGAAGGGAGGGCGAGGCCGGAGCCCCAGAGCGACCGGGAGAACGAGCGGGTAGCGGGCCGGCGGGCGGGGCGCAAAGCCGGGCAGCGCAGGTAGGCCAGGCGGGCCGGGCCGGAGCTTCTAGGTGGGGCTGCGGGGCCAGGACGGCCCGGGAAACGGCGGGCGGGGTCCCCGATCCTCCTGCATATCCTGTGTCCGGTCCTGTTGTGGAGGTCAGCGTCCAATGCATTTCGTTTTGTGTTTGGAATTAAGCTAGCCGTGTTGCAAGAGGCAGGCCCCTTTCGTGGGAGCAGGCTGTTCTCTGTCTCGATTAAGTTTGGGGGAGGGTAAGGAATGGGGTGGCAGTGGGGCATTGGGCGGGGATGGCCTTTGGTGTTAACAGATAGTATGTGGTTAGGAAAACTTTGGGTGAGTTTGGCATTAGGTGCGGTCGGGCTTAGGAAGTAAGAATTCCTTCATAAATTATGAACCTGGACTAAAATTTAAACATTAGCTGCTTGAGTCAAGTCTGTTTCGTGTAGGTGACATTTAGATTGAGATCATTATTTCGTTTTCTGGAATGATCAGCATGAATCAGGGTACAGGATCAGGTTAAGGATCAACAACAGGAATTGACTTAGAAACCCGTTTAGGGACTAAAGGCCATTGTCATGGTTAGTGTTAAGAATAAACAGTGAAACGGTGAATTAGGAAGCAAGTTAAAAATGAGCTTTGGGACTAGGGGTCGGTATTTTAGGGTTAAAGTCGAGGGATTTAGGCTTAAAAGTAAATGCTGGGTTAGTATGGGTGTCTGCTATGAAAGAGATGAATGTCAAATTAGGAAACAGTCTGGATTGATGTTAGGAATTGGTGACAGCATTAGGGGTTGAGGTTTGCAGCTACAGTTGAACAGGTAAAAATGTGAGAAGTTGGCAGCAAGTAGCTGCCCTTGTTTTGTGGTGAGGTCCCTTATTCCTGTGTAACCACAGAGGCTTCTTTTACCCAGAGATGACAGACTAACTTCAGGCCACAGTCCTGGGCTTGAGCTAGAACTGCTGACATCTGGGACTCCACTTTCTTTTTCCTACTGCCTAAGCCTAAGACTTCCTGAGGCCACCATGCCTGTGAGGCTGTGTGGTTTACCAGGTAGGAGGGGGGAATGGAAAGAACCCCCAGAGTCAGACAAGGTGTAGTCAGTCATAAGTGGAGAAGACTAGGAAAGAGGAGGCCGGTGACTAAGGAAACAATGTTTCCACGGAGTTCTTACAGTTTGACCATATAGCTTCATTCCCCACACTGTCTCTTGCTTGTCTGCCCCTTCATTGCACACCCTTTATACTTCCTTGTGGATACTTTCCTGGCCTTTGGCTCTTCCCTTGCTGTACATCTTAACTACTCATTCCCGCCCTCTTTCCCCATCTCTTCATCCACGCGTCTTACTTTAGTTTCTGACTCTCAAATCCAAGCTTTCCCATCATCGTAGAGCACTTTCTCATATCTGCTGAATACCCTCCTCCCAGCTCTTCCTGTGTGTCTCCCCTAGTTTCTGAGCCTCCTTTGACTTCTAGGTCCAGTTGTGTGTCCCCTTCCCCCACTCCCCAGCAGAAAAGAGGAAACGATACCCAAAGAGGAAACTGGGTCTTACTGATCCCACGCCCAGCCAGGCCACTGACCACACCCCTGTGTCACTACCAGCTTGACCCTGCCACTGACCACAACACTATCCCCTACCCAGCCTGATTCAGCCACTGGCTCTACCCCATGCTGCCCCTCCCCCCAACTCCAGCATTACTTAGACACTTTCAGTGTCCCTTCTCTACCCCAACCCCAGCCTAATTTAGCCACTTACCACATCCCTAGCTCTTCCGAAACTCCTGACCTGGCCTCTAACCTCATGCTGTCATTCCCCAGCTTAGTCACCATCCATGGAATCATTCTTGTCCTTCCCCAGCTGGTTCAGTCCCTTGTCACATGTGTCTGTTTCTTACCATCACCCCCCCCCCCATCCCCAGTCGCAGCCTGATGTAGTCAGTAACTCCACCCATCTGCCTCTACCTTCAGCTACTATCACATCACATCCCTTTCCCCACAGCTTCATCCCCACATTCCCATACTGATCTAATCCCATCCCTCACCCTAGCTGCATCACTTAACTGAAGCTGTCTAGTTAATAAATGGCAACCGGTCATAGGAGGCTGACTCTGGGCTCAGGCTTCTGGGAGTCTGGAGGCTCATCAGTTTGACTGTCAGCTCTGCTTTTCTGAATGGCAGCCTCCCCTCCACACAGCTTTAACTCTGCCTTCATTAGCTCTTGTACTAACACAGTCTCTTCTTAAACTGGCTCTAAAGTTGCCTGGAATCCAGTTCTGGGGATGTCCCTGCTCCCCTCCAGTCAGTCAAGTTCCTCGTCCTCTCAGCTGTCATGCCTTTCCATCTTAACCCTGACTTCCCCACCACTGCTCCCTTGCAGGTACTCTGCTTCAGCCAGCTTGCCTACTCACTTTCCTGAATGTTCCTCCACGACTTCCTGCCTCTCCACCTTTGCTCATGCTATTTCCTCTACCTGGGATGCTACCTTTGACTCATCTTCGACTGACCTAAAGGAGAGAGCTTGGGCTTTGGAGTCAGAGAGACCTGGGTTCGGATCTTGGCTTCACAACCTATTAATTGGACAAGTACTTTGGAAAAGTATTTAACATTCTTGAGCCTTGCTTTCCTAATCTGTATAAATGGAAGTAATGACACCTACCTTGCAGGGTTGTTGTAAGGATTAACTGAAATTATGTATACAATGCAATTAACATAGTCAATAAATGACACATCGTTACTACTTTTCATTATCCTCATGTTTTTTAAATCCTAACTTTAAATGATACATACCTGTGGTGAACAGCTTTCAGTCCCACTTCCCTAACCTAAACAGACCTCTTTTCTGTGCATACACATCTTGGCTCTTTTCACATCCTGCCCTCTGTTGTAACTCCGTATTTAGCTTATCCACCCACCTGGAGGGCTGGTAACCTATGGAAAGCAAAGTCTAGGTCTTACTCATCTTGGTTCCCAGCCACAGAAAGTTTGGCCCGGGGCCTTCGCACAACAGGCCCAGAAGAGTGCATGGAGGGAAAGTGTGTGCATATGAAGTGTGTGCAGATGTTGGGAACCTGGGCATTAGGGTCCAGTGCACTGGTGAGGAAGCTGGTGCATGCGTGTGTGTGTGTGTGTGGCGCGCGCACACGCACATGTGATGCCTATAAGAAGATAGATCTTTTGTAGAGGCTGTGAGACCGAGATAAAAGTCTATGTAGAGACAGCATAAGTAGTTTTGTGGGAAAGAGCTGTGTGTTTAAGCTAAGGTGCCTTTGTGAAGAATGAGTATGCATGTATGGATATGAAGACCTATGTTAGAGGAAGTCAGGTCCAGCCCATCAGCTGCTCAGTCCAGCCTTAAATGAGCCTCCAGCAGCCTGAGGCTGGCCGGATATGTCAGTCTCACCCACAAACCCCTCCCCCTCCCAGCGGTTGAGGACTCAGAGGCCAAATTTGGTAACAAGACTGAGTGTTATTCCCCCAACCCTCTTACATTCTGACTCTGTCTTCAGCTCTCTCCCTCTGTCCCCTTTTGTACCTCCCTACTTTTCTGTAGTTCCCTCTTGTAGGTACCTGCACTGATGATATTCTCTGTGTACCCCAAAATTCCTTAGCCCTAGTATACTTGCATTCCATTCCTTGCTGGGTTTTGACCTCCTGTCCTCCACTCCCCCCCTCCAGTTGCCCAACGCCTCTGGAATGCATCTCAGGAATGTATTGAGGGAGGAGTTCTCTGGGAAGGGGACACGGAGGGGGTGTTGTTGCTGTTCACAAACATGATAAAAAGGGGGCCAGGGTTCTCAGATCAGGGCAAGAAGCAGATAGTGTCTACTCATAGTTCCAGGGGACTGGTTTGTCACTACTAGTTCCAGTTTAGTGTTCAATTCCTTGACTTTCTTTCACTCTCAATTAATTGTATGGATAGGTATTCAGAACCAGTCTGAAAGTTAGGGCAGGCATGACTCAACTCTCTTATCGGGGTCGTACCAGAGGAAGAAGTGGGTATCATATGTCCGGAGGAAATGGGGCGGAGAGGCATACATGCAGCTTCAGCTTTGGCTGAGGGTGCCTTCAGTCCTGCGCCGGTTCATCAGACTCCTTCTTCTCTGACAGCCAGGTCTGACCCCCTACTGGGGAAGGTTTCCTATGAATAAGGAAAGGGCAGAGAGTGGGACTGAGGGGGCTGTGAGGGTCCTCTCATTTGGGGTAAAGATGGAGAGCTGTTTTTCTTCTGCAGTCCTCTGTACGTATGGTCAGAGACTTCCTCCTAGTCATTGGTGCAGGTATTTCCTACATCAGTGTCTGATTTCTATCAGGACTTTCACTTTCCTGCTCCATTTTCCCAACCTCCTTATCCTCTACCCTTTCCTAAGTTAACCTGGGTCTCAAATGCTTTCTGTATCATGGCACCCACCTGTTTCCTAGTCTTTCCTCCAGTTTTGCTTACCCCCTTGGGCTAGCAGTTTGCCAGGTGGGGAATGGGAGGTTGCCTTCCTTCCCTTCCCTCTTAGTTAAGAGGCACCCAGGCCCATACCACATTGGGCCACATCATCAGCTGCTGGGCAGGCTTGTTCTCTTAGGCCTGTCTGCAACCTGCTGCTCATAGGGGCTGAAAGGT